CCTCTTCGTGGCCAGCCTCCGAGCGTGATCCCTGTGCACGCTGCGGATCCGCCACAGATCTGCACGAGCACCGCAGAAGCTCCTTCGCCATCTTCGAGAGGCCCTCCCGGGGCGCCTGCTTGCGCCGTTCCAGCTGGGCCTGGCCCCCCGCCGAGGGCTCGCGCCCATGGGGGGGGGGTCGGGAACCAGGTCGACCTCGAAAAACTCCTCCGCTAGGGGGCTACACCCGAACCCGAACCCTACCCCCCACGATTTCCGAGGGGGAGGGTGGGGTAGGGGTAGGGTTCGCGTGTGGTCCCCGATCCGCGGCGCCAGCCTCCAGAAGTGCCGAAAGAGAGACCTTGTTCGGAGCTGCCGACTTGCTGCCACCAACATCACCCAGAGCAGGGGCAACACCTTGGGCGATCTGGCCGACCATCTCCTTGTACGTCGCGCCTGCCCTCGCAGTGTCATCGAATGCTTCAGCACACAAGCGCTGCTGATTTGCAAGATCCTCGCGCCACCGATCCAATTGGTGGAGCTGTTTTCGAGCTTCCTTTCCAACCAGTGGATACGACTGTGCAACTGACTGGCTTGAACCTGGACAGCAGTGGGCGGCTTGGGCTCGGTCTTGGCAAGCAAAGTGCTCCACGCCGAGGTGTGCCCCTTGGCGAGACGCTCGTTGCCCTGCTTGCCAGCGGATGGACACCAGAGACTCGAGCCCCTTCGCGTCAAGGCCATCGACGGAGAGCCCAAGGAGCCGAAGGACGCGCCACCATTCCCACCAGACTGAGGGCCAGGAAGAAAAGGAGTATCATAGCCGAGAGACCCACTGGAACGCTGCGGCCAAGGAGGGCTGCCCCTTTCCTTGACCTTCCGCACTCCCGTCCAGCGGGCCCTGCAATGCTCATGATACCACGGTTGTTGGCGCAGCCGCATATGCCGAAGCGCCATTATCCAACGGCCGGCTTATTGGGGGCTCGACGCTGTGACATGGCGCGGCTGGCAGAGCAGGGAGGGCATCGCCTGCCATGCCGTGTGGCCTGGGAGAAAAGCTCGGACGCGCAACGGCCTTATTAAATTCGCACGTCCAAACTCAGAACACAAATCGCCTGAAGCAGAAGAGCTAAGTGGAGGAGGAGGAGGAGGAGGAGGAGGAGGAGGGAGGGAGGAGGTAGTGAGAAACGAGGAGGAGGAGGAGGAGGAGGAGGAGGAGGAGGAGGAGGAGGAGGAGGAGGAGGAGGAGGTGGAGGAGGAGGAGGAGGTGGGGGGAAGGAGGAGAGGAGGACGGAGAGGAGGGAGAAACGGCAACAACGGGGCGGAGGATGGCCAAGGATGTCCTACCCACCCAGCATCCTCAGGGCCGCGCCCACCCGTGAGTGGGAGAGCAAGGAAGACGTGCCCAAGAATGAGCAAAGGCACCCTGGCCGTCGCGCATCTTTGGGGCCGCGGCCCCCCGCGAATGAAAGGACGGCAAAAGTAGGGCGGAGGATGGCCAAGGGCGCCCTGCCGATGCAGCATCCTCAGGCCCGCTTCCCACCCGTGAGCGGGAGGGCAAGGAAGACGTGCCCAAGGATGAGCAAACGCGCCCGGCCTGTCGGGCATCCTCGGGGCCACGACCCTCGTGAATGGAAGGATGGCAAAGAATGACCCCGAGGATGGCCAAGGATGCCCTGCCCATCGCGCATCTTTTGTAGGCTTGGCCCTGAGGGCCATCGCGCCACGCAACTGAAGGATGCAGCCCGCCCCAAGGGCATCCTACGGGGCTGGCCAGCGGAAGTTGCCAAGGGCGGGCCGAAGGAGTATGCATGCAAGGGGAACCTTGGAACGTTGCTCATCATTTCTACCAATGTTGACTGTAATGGTATGTCTCACTGTGTTTCCGCATATCATCGCCATCAACATGATCACCACCATCATCTTCCTAACAATCATCGCAACTATCGCAATATCAGCATCACCATCTGCTTCTTCTTCATACATTCATAGAATAACCGCCGTACTCGCCACATCCCAAATAAGCATCATCGCAAGAATCTTCATCAGCATTGCCCTTGGCATCGCCGACGCCATCAACACTACTTTATATTTCGCAGCGAAACAGACCAGACCCCCCTGTCACCCTCCAAGACAGCTCTAGTCAGACCCCTCGCCCATGCCCCCCCCTTGTATGGTGATATCCAAAGTTCCATCATCATCATGATCTCCATTGTCACAACTAACCATCATCAAATTCATCATCATAATCATCGCCCCCATCTCCACTATCACCATCACCATCATCATAGGCATCGTCATCAATACCATAAGCGATCCAGTCGGCTCCATGGTTATCATCATACCCTTCATCATCACCGTCATTACCACCATCATCACCATCATCGTAATCCCAGTAGCCGAGGCACATCCTTCCCGATGAAGGAAGAGAGCGCCCAGCACCGCCAGGCCGGCGCTGGCATGGTGGAGGTGGTGGGCACTCTGCTACCCTTCAGTCGGGCCTGTCCACCTACAGGGGGATTTTGGAGGGAAAATTTACAATAGTAAAAAAATGCTCCAAATTGGTCAACAAATAATCAAAAAATAGTCCCCAGACTATTTCTGGACTACTTTTGAATATTCCCCCCTGTAGAGGGACAGGCCCGACTTGATATTACCCTCTTGGATTTGAAGGTGAGGATCGGCATCTCACAAAAACAACCGCCCCCTTGGTCTTCGCTCTTCGATCGACCCTCGCTCTGCGGCCCTCGATCCGTCCGGAATCCTCGATCCTGGATCTTCGATCTCCCACCTCAGGGGGCCACATGCGAGCGAAGTGAAGTGAAGTGAACCCCACCCTCCGCCTCAGAAATCGTGGGGGGCAGGGGTAGGGCTCGCATGTGGCCCCCTACCTCTATCCTGGATCCTCCACCTTCGAGCGGTCCCATCACGAAATCGGCACTCGTTCTGCGGCATCGGCACGGGATGGAGTGAGACCTGCTTTCTGGTGGCCCGAAAAAATATCCGGTCGCCCTGAAAAGGCGGCCGGAGAGTTTCTCGCGAGGAGGCCCTGGACGGCATGCGACTTTCTGGTCCGTGCTCCATGCAGCCGTTGCAATATCGGAGGCACGAGAAATGAAATGCACTAAATTTTCGCAAGCTGGTCGCTGCAACATTGTACTGGGGTCCCTCGGCCTAGCGCGAAACGCGCAGTGCTGCTTGTGCGACCTCTGTGGTCTGGGCTTCTTCTGTTCCAGGGAGCTGCAGGTCACCCACTTGACATTCGCGTTTCGCACCGCGCGCGCATCCGCCACCTTCTGGCCCGTGGAGGCGTGGCGGTGCTTGCTGGTGGTTAGCAAAGACGATAACACATGACGCTCTAAGATATACTAAAGGGGCCCAAGGACACACAAATAAATGCATACAAATCCAAGGACCCCCCATATGTTCCACACGTTTGGGTTTTTTTCGTCGTCCCCCCACTTACCAGATTCTCCCATGCCTTCCTGGGGGATCGACGATTACTTGTGTCTGATATGTGTGGGGGCACGTCTGACATCGACCTTTTGCACTTTCCGAGACGCGTCCCCAGGATTCTCTGAGGATGCGGCACCTCCGTGGAAAATACCTGCTGGCAGGGCGATGTCTTCTCGGATGTGCCCCCATAAGTGTATCCTTTCTGCTGGAGGCGTCACGCATCCATCGCCAGCAGGCCGCGGATAGGGGAACAAACATTCACATAAACATAAAAACTCGGAGGTCCGCGCGGATTCCTCGGATCGGCGCTGGAGCCCCCTGGCGGCGCCTCTGACGCCGCCCCTGGCGCGCTCCGCGCGCCCCGGAGGGGGTTCAGCGCCAATCTGAGAAATCCGCGCGGACCTCCGAGATGTTATGTTTATGTCATTGCTTGTTTCCCTAGTGGAGGCGTGGTGGTGGAAGCTGTCGAACACCCCTGGCTGGCCCAAATCCTGACGCGCGGTGTGCCCCTGGGGGGCGCCGCCAGAGGCGCCGTGGAGATGCTATTCAGGCCCGTCCCAGACAATTGTTTGATCCGCGGGTCGAGAGCGAGCCTCTTCCAATAGAAGCTGAGCGGGCCGCGCACAGCTTTCATTAGCAGAGGGGGGGCAAAAGAAGGCGGGGCCTCACGTCAAGGCCGAGAGGGGGTAAAGCCCTGGGATCAGGCGGTGCCGAAATCGAAGTGCAGGAAAAGACGGCCCGTCCCAGACAATCGTGGGTGCCCTGTGAGGCCGGATGGGACGATGACTTCCGAAGGCTGTGTGGACGCACCTCCGTGCCCTGCTGGGCAGTGGATGCTGGTCGGTGCTCCTGCTCCCCCGACCCCATCCGCCCTCCTCTCCCTCTCCTCCTCCCTGGGAGGGCTGAGGGCAGAGGGAGGGAAAGAGGCACCGATGAGGTGCAACTGCAGGGCAGTTTTTCATGCATGGGATTTTTGTTTCAAGCATCGGATTTTTCATTCATAAGTAATTCTATGAAGGAATGTATGCGTGAACTCATCGTTGTTTCTAATACTACTTCCCTGCATTTTTTAATACATGATCCGCACGCGGAGCATGTACAGTCGGACCTAGGCCAGAAGGACATCCGTCAAGAACATGAGACCCTCCGTCGGCCAAGACAAACAGAACATCCAAGGGTACCCTCCCCAGGATGCACAGGGACATCCAACAAACACGAAGAACACTAGGGTACCCTCCCCGAACCGACCTCGATCTTACACCTCGGCCCGACTGTATTAAAAACGGCACTGTACGTTTCTGTGCCCAGGGGGGGCCCTCTTCGTGGTCGGGCGCCCCGTGCTGCAGCAGCGCGGCCGCGTCCTCGGAGAAGAAGGAGTCGCGCTTCACGGCGCACACGCCGCCGACGCCGAGCAGCTGCAGCCGGAGGAACAGGAGCGGCTGCGCAGGGGACAGCTCGGGGCTGACCCAGTCGAGCACCCTGCGCCCGAGCGGCTCTACCCAGTCCTCTGAAGGGGCCCTGGGACACACAAACGAATACACACAAAGAAAGGGGTTCCCCATCTTGTCTCACATGTTCTGGGCCTTCGTCCTTCCCCCCACCTCCCGTAGTTTCGCATCTTTTCGGGGGGATCGACGATTCATTGTGTGTTCGTGTGTTTTGGCTCCTTCCTGATCCTCCCTGTCCAGAAGCTGCGCCACGTTCAGCTTGGACCTCCCCAGCGGGACGCCGCGGGAGCCCTCGCGCAGCTCCAGGGTCACCGTGGCCTCCCGTGGGCGGCGCACCCAGACCCGCATCTGCTGCTGGAACGTGGCCCGCACGCCGCAGCGGCGCGCGGCGAACGCGGCGACCTCCTCCTCTGGAATCCCGAGCAGCCACGCGATGCCCTGGTGGGACAGGGGCCTGCCTCCATGGGTCGCGGGCAGCTCCAGGAGGAACCTCACCTGCTCCTCCTGCGCTCGCGGGGAGGGGGGGGGGCGGAGGGGGGGGAGGAGGGGGAGGAGCGTGGAGGAGGTGGAGGAGAGAGGGGGAGGGGGGGGGGGAGGACGAGGAGGAGATGACTGGAGGAGTGAGGAGGAGGAGAGGAGGAGGAGAAGGAGGAGGGGGGGGAGGAGGAGGAGGAAGCAAGGAGGAGGAGGAGGGGTGGAGGGGAGGAGGAGGAGGGAGGAGGAGGAGGGCGGCGAGGAGGAGGAGGAGGAGGCGGAGGAGGAGGAGGAGGAGGAGGAGGAGGCGGAGGAGGAGGAGGAGGAGGAGCTCCTTCCCCCCCAGGTCGGCCGCCGCCTGCGCTCGCTGGGCGCCGGCGTAGGCCTGGAGTTCGGCCGCCGGCCGCGAGTCCAGGCCGTCGGCCTCGAGCTCGCCTGAGGTCGGGCATGTCCTCCTACAGGCGGACTTCGAGCGAAAATGTAAAAAGTATACAACAAATTCTCAAACTTGTTAAACATGAATCGAAAAATCGTCCCCAGAGAACTGTTGTTTGACTGTGTTTGAATGTTCCCCCTGTAGAGGGACAGGCCCGGCTCAGAGCTCGCCCGAAAGGACGGCGTGCAGGTCGCAGCCGTGGACGGAATCAGGGAGCTGCTCCACCCTGTCCAGCGTGACGAGCAGCACGGCGCTGGCCTCGTTGACCAGGCGGGGCCCCGGGGAGAAGGCCGCAGACCCGCTGGGCGTGCTGGCACAGAAGTAGGGGAACGAAACATCTAAGTCGGGCGTGTCCCCATACAGGGGGATTTTGGGCGCTTGGGCGACAGATTAAAAAAGTCAAAAAAAGCAAAAATAGTCGAAAACTCGTCCACTGATTATTTTTTGACGGAATATTCCTCCTGTAGAGGGACAGGCCCGACTTAACGAAACATGACATATACATAAAAACTCGGAGGTCCACGCAGATTTCTCGGATCGGCGCTGGGGCCCCATGGCGGCGCCTCTGGCGCCGCCCCTGGCGCGCGGAGCGTGCCAGGAAGGGGGGTCCAGCGCGGATCCAAGAAATCCGCGCGGACCTCAGATGTGTTATGTTTGTGCCGTGTTGCGTTCCCCTAAAAAGGGCCGGAAGGTCGCCTTCATCGTCAGGCTGGGGTTGTCCAGGCTCACACCCGCCGCGACTGCCAGGGGCCACTCCTGCATGTGGATCGCCCTGCGCGAGCTGTTCACCAGGCTTGCCGCGCTGAGCTCCAGGGTCGCCAGCAGGCGGCGCTGCTGGTGGGCCTTGCCGCCAGTTCCCCACAGCTCGAAGAGCAGCCTCTGTCCGTGGACCTTGTCCACGACGAAAGCGTGGGCCTGGCCCCATGAGACGCGCTCGCAGCCCAACTCGCGACGCTCCAAGGTCCAATCCTGCGTCCCCACCTTGAACTCGCCGTAGACTGTCCGGACCCTGTCCGCGCCGCCTGCCAGTAGCTTCCCGAGGACATTCGATGAGAGCGCCACTTCAGAGCCGCCGACGTGCAACGCTTCCCCTACTTCCACTTCCAGCACGCCGTCTGGAGGCGGGTACATCAGGGCGTAGTAGGGCAGGCTGCTGACCAGAGGGACGGCGATACGATTTGGCAGGACAATGTGCGCAGCGAACTGCGTCTCTATAATCTCCTGGACGGCATCCAGGCGCACGGGCAGCGCGTGCAGCACTCCTGACCAAGCTACGGAGATCTTCGGACGGTTCATGAAGAAGAATGCGAAGCCGGAGATCAGAGGCGCGCTCGGCACAAAGTTGCGCAGCACCACGCAGAAGGTGCCCCGCATGCTGAACCGGGAGACGCCCACCGACAGCCCAGGGGTGAGCCTCAGGGAGATGTCCACCTCGCCGACCAGCCACAACTGGGGGAGCTGTGGTCCTTACCTCCCTTGGGGGAACCCATCGCATCGACGATCTCTCGAGATGGGGTGTCGAAATCGATGGGCCCCCCAGTGGGGCAAGGGCCACAGCTCCCCCAGTTGTGGCCGGCCTGCCTCGCTGCCCTCGAAGTCCATGTCCATGGCGAGCTCGACGGAGTCCTTGCAGCCCAGGATGCTCTCGTCGCGGAACGCCTTCAGGCCCCGGACCCGGGGTGGCGAGCCGCCCAGCGAGCACCGCTCGAACGCGGCCGAGCTCAGCACCCGCCTCTGCAGGGCACCCTGGATGGTGCCCTTGAAGAGCCTGTCCTTACCAGCCCGGAACATATCCCTATCCCTATGCTGGGCACCTCCTCATCACGATGCCAATCTTAGGGATTCCCTTATTTTTTGAGGGCGAATCCCCAAGATTGTCATCGCCTTTTGGCGTGTCAATCTTAGGGATAGGGATACGTTCGAGGCTGGTAATGTCCTCGAGGAAGGTGCGCAAAGAGGGCCACAGCTCCTGGGGAGGGGGGACCGCGCGCTGGAAGGGGCATGGATGTCAGCCCCCCAGCAGCTAGCAGCCTGCCGCTTCCCGCATGCACAGCTTGACGATTCGCCGAAGCAGCATCCCGAGCATCTTTGAAAGACGACGGTGCGGGGGCGAGCGCTGAATGGAAGAGGATCAAAATCATAAAAGGAGCAAGCGGGGGAGGAAGAGAAGGAGAGGCACTGGCCAGCAGGGGGCCGGCAGACCAGGGAAGAACAGGAAGATACGAGAGGGGACAGCGGGGACGGGCAACCGGATAGAGAAACAACGAACTCCGCTGCCCCTCTGGAGGAGGAACCAAAAGCAGAAGGGCGCAGAGCGAGAAGGAGGAGACGGCCACCCCCGCGGATCCTCCAGCACCTCTCGGCGGCGCACACAAGGGGGAGCAGGGCCAGGAGCACTGAACACATCAGGAGACAGCTGTCGTGTTGGGAGGAGGGGGCTGGGAGGATGAAGGGCATGAGCAATAGCACCCGGATGCCATGAACGATACCTTCGGCCGCCCAGGGGCAAGGATACCCTCGTTTCTACCAACCCCATCCTCCCATCGGGGATGGACAGACCTCTCTTTAGTAAACCGTGGTTTAGTGAAAACGACCTGAGGCCCAAACCTGGCGGGCGCAAGCCTGGAAAATAACGGCCGCGGCGCCCTCTCGAGAGCCGAAAACGGACAATTCACTAATCGCCGTGTCACTGTTGGGGGTTCTGTCCGCCCTCGATCCCAACCCGAGAATAGCAGAAGAAAAAATGCCATAAACATAAACTTTTGGCGCTCCGCGCGGGTTTCTTGGATCTGCGCTGGACCCCCCTCCCCGGCGCGCGGAGCGCGCCAGGGGCGGCGCTGGAGGCGCCGCCGGGGGGGGGGGGGGGGGGGCCCAGCGCGGATCCAAGAAACCCGCGCGGAGCGCCAAGAGTTTCTGTTCATGGCGTTTTTCCTTCTTCGATTTCTCCCAGCCCCATCCTCCCAACCCGATAACCGTCTTCCTAAACACACGTCAACACAAAGGCCTCCAACTTCTTGGCAACAACCCGCTGGAGATCTCTCGCCTTTCTCGGCATCCGGAAAAGCCGCTACCGGGCCCCACGACAGTCAACAAAACGGCTCCGTGTCGTATCCGCGTCGAACCCAAGCCAAATCCGCGTCAGAGCCCGCATCGAGCCCGCGTCGGGCACAAGAAAAGACGCCCATTTGGGAGACAGGCGAGGTCCCCCGAAGATGCAACGCAACATGAGGGGGCAGGGCCAGGAGCATCGAGCATACGTCAAAACAGCCCTCCGACTCCTTGGCAACCACTCGCCGGAGGTCTCTCGCCGTTCTCCGCATCCAGAGAAAAGCCGCTCCCCTTGGTCGGGAGCGGCCAAGAGGGGGTGTCCAAGAGGGGGGGGGGGGGGGCAATTCATGACCGGCGGCATGTGCGCGGCCCAGCGGGGGGGCCAGGGACGTGATGAAACAAGAAGAGGCGCCATGAAATCTGTGGAGATATCATGGCCCCCGCCATGATATCCCCCCCCCTGGTCATCACCCCCCTCTTGTATACATCTTTCGTCGTTTTCCCGGGACATCGGGGAAAGCATACACCACCCCAGCGTCGGCCTCGCCCCTCAAGGCGTCCTGGGATATCATGGCCCCCGCCATGATATCCCCCCCCGCCCCCTAGTCATCACCCCCCTCTCTTCCGCGCCCGACCTTGGGGCCCCACGACTTAGATGCTCATCCTGGGGACCTTCCTGTAGCCACTGGCTCCACTCGTGTGTCGAAGCTGCGTCGAACCTGAGTAGAACCTGAGTCGAACCTGAGTCGAACCTGAGTCGAATCTATGTCGAACCTGAGTCGAACTTGAGTCGAACCTGAGTCGAACAGATCCATTAGGTGGGCCCCAGGAAGGTCCCCAAAACGAGCATCGAACACGACGGTCAACACGCAGAAGCGGCCCGGGGCACCCGCACCAGAGAGCCCGGAGGGGGCAGAGGCCGAGTGCCCGTGCGGCCTGCGACTTTGGGACACGGCAGCGCGTCGGAGGCCTCTGACTTGGGAGCGTGCGGGCCTCCACCTCTCCTCCTCTCTCCTCTCTCTCCTCCTCCTCCTCTCTCCTCCTCCCTCCTCCTCTCTCCTCCTCTCTCCTCCCTCTCTCCATCCTCTCTCCTCCTCCTCCTCCTCCTCCTCCTCCTCCTCCTCCCTCCTCCTCCTCCTCCTCCTCCTGCTCCCCCTCCTCCTTCCTCCTCCTCCTCTCCTCCCCTCCTCCTCCTCTCCTCCTCCTCCTCTCTCCTCCTCTCTCCTCCTCCCCTCTCCTCCTCCTCCTCCTCCTCCTCCTCCTCCTCCTCCTCCTCCTCCTCCTAGTGCGGACACCCTGAACTCAAAGACGTTCTCATCTCTTGGGGGCGCATCTTTGACCTCCGCCGCCTGCCGCCGAGCTCCCGCCAGCGGAAGCGGGCTCGCTTCACTGCCGCCGCCTTCCGCCGAACTTCCGCCGCGGAAGAGATGGCGACTCCGTCGATCCTCGAAGGCGAGGCCCTTTTTGGAACGCCGCATGTGTTTTTCCAGTGGGTCGGCCCCACCCGAGAAGCCCCCTGACGCCCCAGAATGCCGCAGAGCTCCGTCGGCTCGACGTTTTCCATGCGCGGGCCCCGAAGCTCTTGACGTCCCGAGTTATTTTGGCGGTGCGCATAAGGGAGTAGGGTAAGGGGGGAAGGCTTCTTAGACGGTGGCCGCTCCTTAGAAGGCGCCGTCCCTACATTTATGGATGAGGCCCGCGTCTTCTGAGAAGCAGCCTGCTTCTAAGAAGCGTTCACCCCTCCCTCCACCCCCGTCTGCGCGTGGCCGACTCTAGACGCCGAAAAGCCTCTGTCGACTTCACTCAAGAGTGACCCTGGGTATGAGAGTGACCTTTGGTGCGCGGCTTCTAGGGGGGCGCGAGGGGGCCAAAAACAAGCGCGCAGGCCGCTGCAAATCGCATCGTATTCGGCGATCGGGGGGCCCAACCCAGGCATCCATCCGGCCGCTGCAAGTTGCTCGATGCGTGGGCCCTGGAGGTCTGGACCACCTCCCTGTGGCCGGTTTTTCGACCAGCGAGGGCCCCCGGAGGCCGAAACCAGGTGGGCCCTGGAGGTCTGGACCACTTCCCTGTGGCCAGTTTTTCGACCAGCGAGGGCCCCCGGAGGCCGAAACCAGCCAACAGGCGCCAGCTCTAATTTTTTGAAGGGGCCCTGGGACACACAAATAAATACACACAAATAAAATGATTCCCCATATTTTCCTATATTTTCTGGGTTTTTGTCTTCCCCCCCACTTCCCATATTTTCCCATATTTTCCTGGGAATCGACGATTAATTGTGTCTGTGTGTTTTTTCCCCTCCTGATTTTTGTTGGGGGGCGTCGGATCTCCGGGTCGGCGATCGGAGGGCCCCAGTGGGCCCGCACCAAAGGTCACTGCGGCGAAGGGCCACTCCTACGTGTCGTCGAGTCTACTCCCCCCCCCCTCAAGAGGAGGGAGGAGGAGGAGGAGGAGGAGGAGGAGGCGTTTGGCCGAAGACGCTCTTTTCGCCCACAGGGGGCAAGCAGACCGGCCTTACCCTTTGCGCGTCGGGGGCTCGCACCGCCCCGACCGCGATCATCGGCATCCTTTCTTCACGCACAAAAGAACCAGGGTGGCACAGGCGCAGCAGGGCGCGCCGCTCGTGGTGCCGAGTGCTAGTACGGCTGGCGAGGGCCAGAGAGGTGCTTAGCGAGCACCACAGCGCCCAGCAGCAGCCACGGAGCAGAATGGCGACATGGGGACCACCGCACGCAGGCCAGTCATCATCATGGAAGTGCCCGTGCGGTGCAAGAGTCCCTTTGAGCAAATGGAATTGCAAGTGTGGCACTCATTTCAGTCAGAGGACGGGTATAACGTGGTACAAGCGGCCTCCCAGCAAGGGGCCCAAGAGCGGTACAGCAGCGACAGCGACGGCGGCACCTTCCAAGGCGGCGATCAACAGAATAGTGCAGCCCATCCGTCCGCTCACGCTCCAGGAAGCTCAGCGGCATCAGAAATGGGAGGAGCCGCCAGACGAAAGCGAGCACGCCCAGTTCAGAAATGTCGTAAGGAGGAAGATCGACGTGCTGGCGACGTCCGTGATGGCATCCATCGCTGCAGGGACCAGCGACACAGAGGCCAGGCTCGAGATCGCCATGTGGAAAGCAGCCTTGGTCTCGCTCAAGCCGCTTACGCAGCAGTTGATGGATCTACAGAATCGTCAGAATCGACACAGCGAGAGGTTGAGGAAGATTCGTATCGAGCGCTGCAAGTTAGACGAGGAGGAGATCTTGGTACAAAAGGAGATCGACGATGTATCGATGCAGATTGTCAAGGTAAAGGAGGACATCCAAGACGCCCAGGTGTACGACGCCATGGACACAGATGGCGGTGGATCGCTGCATGGTGCTGGTGGAGGGACTGCGCCAGCGCCTCCGCCGTGGCGCCAAGCCCAGCAGCAGGCAGCGCAAGGCAACCAGATGCCATTCATCCCGCAGCATTTGTGCCAGCCTATACCAGCATTGGTGCCAGCGATTATGGCTCACCAGCAGGCAATGGCAGCCAAGGGCTTGGGCGTGGGCAAGGGCGCGGCGGCGCCAGGGCGGGCTCAGATGCCGCCGCTCGGCCCCACGGCTTTGCCGGAGAAGGGCTTGGGCAAGTGCCCCGCCCCGCCTCAGCCACCGCAGAGCGGCATCCTGAACCCAGTCCAGCAGATGCAGTTCGACACCATGATGGCGACGATGGCCTCAAACAATGCCAAGATCGATCAGTTCCTGACGACA